TATATATATATATATATATAAATAAACGAGTAAATAAAGTTCAAAGGGCTGTAACTTTTGATCTAGTAGTCCAATCGTGGAACTGTTTGAAATTATGGATTCTACGGGCCAAACTCTATAAGAAAATGTTTTTTCCCGGTCGATCTCAGACAATTTTTTTTTCCAGCCTCAAAAAAATGCAGTTATTTACCTTCCTTTTTTACCAAAAATCGACTGCTCCAAAATTTCTCGGGAAAACACTTTTTCTCACTAATTTTGGTGCGTAGAATCCAAAACGATTCGTACTTTTTCGATCAGACCTCTCAATCAAAAGTTATGGACTAAATAAAAATTTCGACTATATATATATATATAAATAAAGTTCAAACGGCTGTAACTTTTGATCTAGTAGTCCAATCGTGGAACTGTTTGAAATTATGGATTCTACGGGCCAAACTCTATAAGAAAATGTTTTTTTCCGGTCGATCTCAGACAATTTTTTTTTCCAGCCTCAAAAAAGGCAGTTATTTACCTTCCTTTTTTACCGAAAATCGACTGCTCCAAAATTTCTCGGGAAAACACTTTTTCTCACTAATTTTGGTGCGTAGAATCCAAAACGATTCGTACTTTTTCGATCAGACCTCTCAATCAAAAGTTATGGACTAAATAAAAATTTCGACTATATATATATATATATAAATAAAGTTCAAACGGCTGTAACTTTTGATCTAGTAGTCCAATCGTGGAACTGTTTGAAATTATGGATTCTACGGGCCAAACTCTATAAGAAAATGTTTTTTTCCGGTCGATCTCAGACAATTTTTTTTTCCAGCCTCAAAAAAAGGCAGTTATTTACCTTCCTTTTTTACCAAAAATCGACTGCTCCAAAATTTCTCGGGAAAACACTTTTTCTCACTAATTTTGGTGCGTAGAATCCAAAACGATTCGTACTTTTTCAATCAGACCTCTGAATCAAAAGTTATGGACTAAATAAAAATTTCGACTATATATATATAAATAAAGTTCAAAGGGCTGTAACTTTTGATCTAGTAGTCCAATCGTGGAACTGTTTGAAATTATGGATTCTACGGGCCAAACTCTATAAGAAAATGTTTTTTCCCGGTCGATCTCAGAAAATTTTTTTTTCCAGCCTCAAAAAAGGCAGTTATTTACCTTCCTTTTTTACCGAAAATCGACTGCTCCAAAATTTCTCGGGAAAACACTTTTTCTCACTAATTTTGGTGCGTAGAATCCAAAACGATTCGTACTTTTTCGATCAGACCTCTCAATCAAAAGTTATGGACTAAATAAAAATTTCAACTATACAATACAAGAGAGGGATAATAAATAAACAAAATTAGTTTTTTTATTAGGAAGAGTTCCATTATCAGGAGATTATGAAATTAGCGGAACATGTTCAAGCCATTTACAAATTCCTGCGTTTCGATTCATTACTAGAGCAAAGATTGAGGAGAGGAAAGAGATTTCCATTCATTACTAGAAAGTTAGTTCCATTGCCATTTCAAGTAAAGCACCATAAAAACATTGAGGGTTATAGGGTGAGGGTTATTTAATCTTTCTTTGCGGAAGGATATTCCACCTCTCCCCCCCCCCCCCATCCCACTGCCCTGTCAAATTTTCTTCCACAAAACGTGCACCCTTTCAGTCTCACGAAGTATTTTTAGAAAAAAATGATCATATTATTAGCTTATCCTAAGAGGTACTGCGGATAATGAATCACGGGGGGGGGGGTCTGATGTAGAACCAGAGGGGGCCTGGGGGCCGATAGATTATGGAATGCCCTCAGAAAATAAAGATTCTGTTCTTCTGATACGTTTTAGAATTAATTAAGGTTATAAGAATCCCTTCTCTTTGTTACCATGCCAAAAAAAATTTGTTTTCAACAGTAACAGTGGGGGTGAGATCTATTTAGGTTGCAAACCTCTTCAGTAAGACGCACACATTTTCGAAAACAATGATACATTTTGCGGTAGGGGGAACGCTTCCTCTCGACTGTGGATCCTATTTGAGAGTATCCATTTTGAAAAAGGCGCCATGAAAACAGTCTCATTTTGTTTCAGGATTGCAATTAAGGGGAGGGATGGGTCAACTTACTTCCTCAAGGTTTAACATTCAAATCCATGGAGTCCATCCAGGATTATGATACTTTATTAAGAAAAACAACAATGTATGTTCGTATAAATATTTATCTTTTTCTTTAATAAAAAGATACCACACATCACAGTAAATAAACGTTACACTCACACGTATCCTACGATATTTTAATTAATTCATACGATTCAAAAATCGACAATTCAAATCATTTTTATGATTACTAAATATTTGTATACGTATACATTTTAAAGTCTGTTTTACTAGAACTAAAATTCTTCAGAATATTAAAAAGATAAAAGTACAACAATATAAAGAAACAGTTATAAACAAAAAGCGAGACTAGCTACACAAGGAAAAAAAACACTAACAGAAGTGAAGTGCATTAACTACACAAAGCGTAAGACTAAAAAATAAAACAGAACGTGAATAAATAATATGGCAAATCAATTCACGCTAAAATAATAAACAAAAAAAAAGGAAATTGAATAAATAAAATTGAACCTAAATAAATACCTAACGACATGCAACATTTGTAATACTTACTTTAACCATAAATATGACACATTTCTAATTTTCTCTCTAATTCAAAAACGCTAACTTCAATATATTTAAATATTATATATATGGCACTTGCGGAATGGATTTCTAAGAAAAATGTCTCGTACTGCGCGAGAACGTGTCGATTTGATGCATCTTTTGAGCCACCGTCTCAAAAAGGCACAAAGTAATCAATATATGTCTTCCCTAAGGCACTAAATCTAATTAAAAAGGCCTCTACTACGCTATCAACTAACGCTATGTCTTTTATAGTTTACATTTTGTTCCCTAGTAATACTACAAATTTTCCGTAGCTACGCAATCTAAGAATAAACCTGCTGTTTTATCATCACGCTATCGTTCAAAAAACTTGGTGTCTTTTTGTAACTTTGTTACACTCAGTCGAATCGTCGTACAAATAATATTAATCGCGGGGCGTTAGTAATAATACTTATGAAAACACCCTGTATAAACAAAATAGTACGCTATCACCTTATACTTTGCTTTGTAAATATCTTTTTAAGATCTAAAAAATAAAATTTTGGAAATTACATCTATAAACTGATTTTGAATGCTCAAGTGCTCGTATTTCTTTTTTTATATATATGTATAATATAAAACAGTGATATATACATGTTTTTTCCACGCTAAACTACCTATTTACATTATGTACAGCGCGCTCAACCCTCCAGGTGTCTGTATTTGTGCGCGGACATCTGCGCCAGCCCGAGCACGGCGTAGTGGCAGGACAGGCAGTGGTAGTGGGTCTGTTTTCCGCTGTGCTGGCAGTTGCCCATCTTGCACTGCTGGCTCGGCGTGAACTTCTCGAAGCCGGCCGCCTGGATCGAGTCGAGCTTCTGGTGCTGGCGTCGGTGGGCGACCACCTTGTTCGTGTCCGTGCAGACGAAGTCGCACTTCAGGCAGTGAAAGTGTGACGCCTTATTTTGGGTATTGCCTGAAAAAGTTCGTGGGTAAATACGGCAAACACCCCGTCGGCGATCCCGCCGCTCTCGTCGCAACGCGCTTACCTAAATTACTAGTGTATGCACACTCGGGCCGACCGCAGGCGACGTTCGCGCGGTACTGCTGAAAGTCGCCCCCCATAAGTGTATCGAGACGCTCGTGTCTCGCGGTGTGCTGCACGAATCGGGTCTTATCACAAAAGCTGTAACCGCAGTCGGGTCTTTGGCAATGGAAGTGCGTCTGGTGCTCCCTGTATCCGCAGTGCGGGTACTGGCAGTCCTCGTTAAACCTGAAACGCATCGGTCGGTCAGTCGGGCGAGATTTCCCCGGACACGCACCTAAACCTGAGGTAACCCTCGGGTACCGGTTCGTCCTTTAAAATTCTCATCGAGTTCTGCAACCGCGCCTTCTTCTGCTCGGGGGTGAACTCGTGCGGGCTCAGCGCGCGCTTGTTCAGGTTGGCCGCCATGGCGGCGAGCGGCGACGTCATGTTCTCGTTGCCGTAGGGACTCTGGGGCGGGACCACCGGCAGTAGGGGGCTCTGCATCAGGCCGGTGTGCTGGAACATGAGCTGGGTGGGAATGGTGGCGTTTTGGTACAAGCTTTGAGGTAGGAAGGCCTGCTGCTGGGACATGAGCGCGAATTGCGTCGCGAGGTTCGAGGGGAAATTGGTGAAGTGGTTGTAGGTGTCGAACGTTGGCGTGACGTAGGTTTCCGGTTCGGATTTCGTCAGGGAGGGATTCTGGAGGGAGTGCAAGGGCGCCACGTTGATTTTCGGTTCGGTTTTCACGGGGCTCGGGGTGTGCGCCTGCGGGGAGGTGTCTTCGAGTAGCTGACTGTTCAAGGCACTTGTGCTGTGTTTCGCTATGTGGGTCAGTAGCCTCTCCACTTCGGAAAATGCCTAAAAATTAGTGTTCCTTACGGGTACCGCACCAAATCAAAACTCACTTGATTGCAGGCGTTACAGTGGTAGTGATATTTGCGCTTCAGTTTACAAAAGGGCCGGCTGCAACTGATTTCGGGGCCGTACAACGTTTGACTTCCCATATCCGGTAGGGGTTCGTAGTTGGGCTCTAGAAGAAATGCAAGAGGTTGAGTATCCCACACTTCGAGTGAATGATGGGAACATCTCAGAAAGTATCTAAAGAACTACACAAACTGGGCGCGCATTTCCTGAGATCTTCCGAAATAAAAGTGGGAGAGTAAAATCATACCTGCGCAGATATTTTTAGGAATTTCTGGGGAAGTGTGCCGCTCAGATCCTACTGATGAAAGAGGGTAAAAAGTTCCCGAAGCCTTAACCACTAGAAAGAAAGATATCAAGTGTTCTATATACAAGTGCGCAAACTCTAAGCTAAGAAAAAAGGTAACTACCATGCACAATGTCGTGTTACGTAGAAGCTTACCGGAAACTTTGTTATCTTGAACGTTCTGGCTCAAATTCATCGCCTTCACTTGCATTTGCTCGTCGCCGGGGCGCTCCTCCACAGGCTCACTTTTCACTTTGTAGTCGGGCGTCTCCGGCGTGGTAAACTGCCCCTCCTCCAGGTGCTGCTGGTTGTGGATCGCCATCGTCGAGTACTGCACGAACGAGTAGTTGCATTTGTGCCGCGTGCAGTGGAAGTGGCGGTTCACTTTGTTGCTGGCACAATTCGGCAGTCGACAGTCGACGTTACGGTCGTAAAACTCGAAGCCGTCGAGAATGTCGATGTTATCGTGGAAGTCCTTGCTGTGCATTATGAGAACGTCCTCCTTGTCGGTGACGTAGAGGCAACGGTTTTGGTTGCAGTGGTAGTGGACGTTTCCGAGGTACGGGCACAACGAGTCCGGACACTTGGCGTTCTCGTGGAAGACGTCGAAACCCTGAAGCGTGTAGTCCTGGATCTGAAACCGCCATTTGAAAATGTGGGGGGCACAACGTGCGCGCATGCTTACAATTGGACTACTCGACCGCTCATCAGGCGACTCAGGTTGGTCCATTTCCTTATTCGACGCCTGGGCCGACGTCGACGGCTTCGGCAGCTTGAAACTGGTAAAGATTGCCTGCGGCGAGTCTAGCAAGCTCTGACTGCCCATCGGCGCCTAAAACAAAGCGTGAGCCACATCGCTACAATCAGAAATTGGCTTACGTAGTCATTCCAAACCTCAATTACGCGATTCTTCGGCGGTCTTCCGCGTTTACGGCAAAACATGCCGTCGATTGAGGTAGCTAGGTGCGTCATCGTCAGGGGGTCCTTGGTCAGGCTGAGCTTCTTCGAGTACTCGTGCATCTTGTAGTGCTCCAGCCTTCTGAACGGTTTATCGTTGGGCAATATCACCTCCCGACAATTATCCTACGGAAATACCTGTTTCAGAAGCCGCCTATCCTGATCCTTTCATCTACTACGCATCTGATCAGACAATTAATAACTCACCCAATTACAGTGATAGTGCTTCTCCTTATCTTGATAAATACACGACTCGTCGCATCCGCCACTCTGAGCGACGACCGTCGTAAAGTAAGCCTCGGTCACCTGCTCCTGCTGCTCGTGGTTGCGAGCGTGCTCCCGTACGCCGTCTCTACAACTGAACAATTCGCGTGAGATCGTGCCCGTTCGTTAATCGTCGACTTACTTAAAAACTATATCACAATATTCCATTCCGCAGTGGTAATGGTCGCTGTACGCGTATTCACATTTGTCGAGGCAGGGCTCGTTCTGCCCGTAAAAGTTACAGTACTTCCGCCAGAAGTCCTCCCCGTTCCACGGTATACCGTCCTCGGGCAGCGTGAAGCTCGACTCGTTCGCGCTGAGATCCATGGCGGACGACGACTCGCCCTCCTCGTAGCTCACCGGCGAGTTGCGCTCGCTCAGCGTCTCCGAGTTGGACAAGTTCGAGCTCTGATGGAACATCCCCAGGTTGACGCCGTCGAACTGCTGCTCGTACTCCCGGAACCCCAAGTTCATACCGCCGTCTTGCAGCGTCTTGATCATGCTCTGCGCCAGCTTGTACTTTCGGTACGCCAGCTCCGAGTCCTTGCGCTCGTGCTTCCTCTTGTGCGAGAACAGCTGGCCGGAACTGTGCAGGACGTAGTTGCACTGCGGCCTGATGCAGTGTATGTGATTGCACACCTTCGAAAATCGGCAGTTCTCGTACGGGCAGATCTCGCTCTTCATGAACTTCTTAAAGCCGTCCCTGGACAGCTGCTCGTCTTTGATATGGTACGACTTGTGCTTCTCTAAAATGAACCACCCGTACTAAGCGCCACGCTTTCACAACCCGAACTTACCCATGTCCGATTTGTTCTTAAACGTAAACCGACAGCCAGATCGTCTGCAGTGGAAATGCGTCGTCCTCTGTCCAAAGAACGAACAGTAAGAAGCGCCGCACTCCTCTGTCGCGCGGTACCTCTGAAAACCTTCCTGTATAATTGCCGAATCCTTCCGATGGTAATTGGCGTGCATTTGTACGTCGGACGTCGAAATGTATACCTTGTCACAGCCCTCTTTGATACAGTGGTAGTGCGTTTGTTTTTTGTTGTGCGTGCAGTTCGCGTAACGGTCCGAGCAGTCGTCCAGAGGACTATACCTCATAAAGCCGTGCTGCAAGGACTCGTCTCGCTTCTTGTGCCATTTAAAATGGCGTATCATTTCCTCCTTCTTGATGAAAACTCGCGAGTTACAGTCGAGACAGTGAAAATGTTCCCTGCGCGGAAAATTTGGGTGTAAATAAGACGCGGGCGCGATAGCAGTTGTCCTTACCGATAGTTCAAGTCCTTGCAGTAGGAGTTTCCGCACTCCAACGAGGAGGAGAATTTTTTGACGTACTTGGAGTAGTCGATTTGGGATTGAGACTTCGTTAGTTGTAGACCTAGGTGGCCGCCGTCACGAGATTGGCTTGCGGCCAGAGATTGGGCCATCATTGCTGGAAAGAACATTTGCTTTTAGCAACAAAATAATATAAAACCTTAAAAATATCGCATTTACATAATAAATGTTTGGGGGGGTACTGTAACGTGACTGTTGATGAAGAAAAAGGAACGTTTTATTTAAGGGTGCATATTAGTAGATTGTTTAACAATAAGAATACTTCCTAAAATTCGAGTCAAAGCACCCCTAAATTGGGCCTATTCATCCCTATACGTTGATCGAAGAAAAACGACTAAGTTTAAAAATTATTTCAAAAAAATGAAGCGCGTGGCATTGAATTTTATTGGACTTATTTAAGGGTGCATGTTAGTAGATTGTTTAACAATAAGAATATTTCCTAAAATTAGAGTCAAAGCACCCCTAAATTCGCCCTATTGATCCCTATACGTTTGTCTTAGAAAAACGACTAAATTTAAAAATTATTTTCAAAAAAATGAAGCGGGTGGCATTGAATTTTATTGGACTTATTTAAGGGTGCATGTTAGCAGATTTTTTAACAATAAGAATATTGCCTAAAATAAAAGTTAAAGAACCCCTAAATTGGGCATATTCATCCCTATATGTTTATCCAAGAAAAACGACTAACTTTAAAATTATTTTCAAAACAACTGAAGCGCGGGGCATTGAATTTTATTGGACTTATTTAAGGGGGCATATTAGTAGATTTTTTAACAATAAGAATATTTCCTAAAATTAGAGTCAAAGCACCCCTACATTCGGCCTATTCATCCCTATACGTTTGTCTTAGAAAAACGGCTAAGTTAAAATTTATTTTCAAAAAACTGAAGGGCGGGGGCATTGAATTCTATTGGACTTATTTAAGGGTGCATATTAGTAGATTGTTTAACAATAAGAATATTTCCTAAAATTAAAGTCAAAGCACCCCTAAATTCGCCTTATTGATCCCTATACGTTTGTCTTAGAAAAACGACTAAATTTAAAAATTATTTTCAAAAAAATGAAGCGCGTGGCATTAAATTTTATTGGACTTATTTAAGGGTGCATATTAGTAGATTGTTTAACAATAACAATATTTCCTAAAATTCGAGTCAAAGCACCCCTAAATTCGCCCTATTGATCCCTATACGTTTGTCTTAGAAAAACGACTAACTTTAAAAATTATTTTCAAAAAAATGAAGCGCGTGGCATTGAATTTTATTGGACTTATTTAAGGGTGCATATTAGTAGATTGTTTAACAATGAGAATATTGCCTAAAATTAGAACCAAAGCACCCCTAAATTGGGCCTATTCATCCCTATACGTTGATCGAAGAAAAACGACTAAGTTTAAAAATTATTTTAAAAAAACTGAAGCGCCTGGCATTGAATTTTATTGGACATATTTAAGGGTGCATATTAGTAGATTGTTTAACAATAAGAATATTTCCTAAAATTCAAGTCAAAGCACCCCTAAATTCGCCCTATTGATCCCTATACGTTTGTCTTAGAAAAACGACTAAATTTAAAAATTATTTTCAAAAAAATGAAGCGGGTGGCATTGAATTTTATTGGACTTATTTAAGGGTGCATGTTAGCAGATTTTTTAACAATAAGAATATTGCCTAAAATAAAAGTTAAAGAACCCCTAAATTGGGCATATTCATCCCTATATGTTTATCCAAGAAAAACGACTAACTTTAAAATTATTTTCAAAACAACTGAAGCGCGGGGCATTGAATTTTATTGGACTTATTTAAGGGGGCATATTAGTAGATTTTTTAACAATAAGAATATTTCCTAAAATTAGAGTCAAAGCACCCCTACATTCGGCCTATTCATCCCTATACGTTTGTCTTAGAAAAACGGCTAAGTTAAAATTTATTTTCAAAAAACTGAAGGGCGGGGGCATTGAATTCTATTGGACTTATTTAAGGGTGCATATTAGTAGATTGTTTAACAATAAGAATATTTCCTAAAATTAAAGTCAAAGCACCCCTAAATTCGCCTTATTGATCCCTATACGTTTGTCTTAGAAAAACGACTAAATTTAAAAATTATTTTCAAAAAAATGAAGCGCGTGGCATTAAATTTTATTGGACTTATTTAAGGGTGCATATTAGTAGATTGTTTAACAATAACAATATTTCCTAAAATTCGAGTCAAAGCACCCCTAAATTCGCCCTATTGATCCCTATACGTTTGTCTTAGAAAAACGACTAACTTTAAAAATTATTTTCAAAAAAATGAAGCGCGTGGCATTGAATTTTATTGGACTTATTTAAGGCTGCATACTAGTCGATTTTTTAGCAATAAGAATATTTCCTAAAATTCGAGTCAAAGCACCCCTAAATTCGCCCTATTGATCCCTATACGTTTGTCTTAGAAAAACGACTAACTTTAAAAATTATTTTCAAAAAAATGAAGCGCGTGGCATTGAATTTTATTGGACTTATTTAAGGGTGCATATTAGTAGATTGTTTAACAATAAGAATATTGCCTAAAATTAGAGCCAAAGCACCCCTAAATTGCGGCTATTCATCCCTATACGTCGATCTTCGAAAAACGACTAAGTTTAAAAATTATTTTCAAAAAAATGAAGCGTGTGGCATTGAATTTTATTTAAGGGTGCTCACGAGTAGACTTTTTAACAACAAGAATGAGACAAAACACCCCCATTGGGCTTGTCGATCCTTATTTATTCAAAAAAATGTTCTATTTAAGGGTTGTTTGGATTCGGTAGTCATATTGCTCTAATTTGCAGTGATACAGGCACCGAATGCATCAATGCAGAGCTTTGGACGCGTGCCGACAGATGTCGCGCGAAGCGCCAAACGAGCTTCGTAATGTATCTACATAAATTTAAGCGGCAAGTTAATAAAGACGGAATAAATTAATACCAGAAGCGGTGGAAATTATGTAATAAATAAAAACGCGTATTCAAATTTAGTCATAATTATCCACTGAGACTTGCGCGCCGCGTCTCGAACTAATCACTTTATAGGTAAAAACAACATAAATACCGGATAATAAAAATAACGAAGTCGGAAGATAAAGGGTCGTAAAATTTGTAATTTCGTGCGCTACCGTCGCCTGTAAACGCGTTCCGAGTTACAACCGCAAATTTCTCACCGCCCGAAAATTTTGCACGTGTGACAGATTGTAAAAGAAAACCAAAATAAAAGAGTATTGAATTTCGAAATTCCATAAAAGAAGGGGTTCTTTAATATATAAAAAAAAAACTAGTTTTATTTATCTTTTAACCCTTTTATACTTGATATAAAAGACTCAGATGTATTTGGGATTTATACAGTCGGGCGGCGATTTGGTCGCCGCCTAAACTATCGACGATAATCGTTTAGTTATTTTGGGCAACTGCAGCTGAAAAAACCCACTTTAAAGTAGTATTTATATTAAAGCATAAGGGCTATTTTAAATATACGTAATCTCGTACGCGCTGATCGATAGGGGTGCCCTTATATAACAAACAGTTGAGGGTTACTGAAAAATAGTCTGAATAAAGGGTTATAACTACCGAATTTTTTTAATCACGTTAAAAGTTCCGGAGGCACGGCGGGGGTTCTAATTTTACACCTCGAAGACTTCACGTGTGCGAAAATCGCCCGTTGGCGAAAACAATGGGACACTGTCACAAGGTTGCGATCTGTTACGTAAGACAAATTCATTTAGAAGGCACCAATGCCAACCGCCAGAAGCTGCGAGCAAAAAACGCGACAACAGCCAGAAGGAAGTAAGACGATTGTTTCTCTGGCTGTTGTCAGTTGTGGTAAGTGGCAACGTTTTGTTGAAACCACTTCCATGTTATGTCAAATCAAACCGTCCCTTCTTTTGACTATGTCGGTTTGATTATGTGATTCTTCCTTAGAAATTTGCGCTTATTATACTTTTGTGTACTGTATGAAAAGTGTGGGTGAAATTTGCGCCATTTTGGCGGCGAGTATTGAAAAAGGAAATGAATTTTCGCCATCCATGACGTTAATGTGGGTCAAATTTGCGCCATTTGAGCGCCGAAAATTACTTTGAGCGGCGCATATTTTGAGACATTTCAGTATGAGGTTAGTGTGAGTGAAGTTTGCGCCATTTGGGTGCCGAAAATAACTTTAGGCAGCGCGAATTATAAGAATGGAAACTAATTTTCGCTATCTATTTGTGTGTGAGGTTAGTTTGGGTCAAATTTCCGCCATTTGAGCGCCGAAAATTACTTTGAGTGGCGCATATTACGAGACATTTCAGTATGAGGTTAGTGTGAGTGAAATTTGCGCCATTTGGGCCCCGAAAATAACTTTAGGCAGCGCGAATTGTGAGAATGGAAACGAATTTTCGATATCCAATTTTGTATGAGGTTAGTTTGGGTCAAATTTGCGCCATTTGAGCGCCAAAAATTACTTTGAGTGGCGCATATTATGAGACATTTCAGTATGAGGTTAGTGTGAGGCAAGTTTGCGCCATTTGGGTGCCGAAAATAACTAGGCGGCGCGAATTGTGAGAATGGAAACTAATTTTCGCTATCCATTTTTGTGTTAGGTTAGTTTGGGTCAAATTTCCGCCATTTGAGCGCCGAAAATTACTTTGAGCGGCGCATATTATGAGACATTTCAGTTTGAGGTTAGTGTAAGTGAAGTTTGCGCCATTTGGGCGCCGAAAATAACTTTAGGCAGCGCGAATTTTGAGAATGGAAACGAATGTTCGCTATCCATTTTTGTGTGAGGTTAGTTTGGGTCAAATTTCTGTCATTTGAGCGCCGAAAATTACTTTGAGCGGCGCATATTATAAGACATTACAGTATGAATTTAGTGTGAGGCAAGTTTGCGCCATTTGGGCGCCGAAAAAAACTTTAGGCAGCGCGAATTTTGAGAATGGAAACGAATTTTCGCTATCCATTTTTGTATGAGGTTAGTTTGAGTCAAATTTGCGCCATTTGAGCGCCGAAAATTACTTTGAGCGGCGCATATTCTATATGAGATTAGTATGGACTATAGTCACTGTAGTATGGACCATTAAATCATATCTACAGAAACACAATTTAAGCGAAATCAT